TGTGCCATCTCACCTTAACACTACATGTAGCAATTAATCTACTTCAGAATGAGTGCAGTATCTAACAGGGAAGCCATTGAGCAGGTGTCCTTTAACTATATAATTAATCACTGGTGAAGTCCAATTGCATTTTGCCATTGAAAAATCATATTGATACATCACCATTTCAAGAAAGAAAAATTACTTCATTATAGTGTTCCCTGTGTCAAATGTGCCATTTGTCCAGGACGGTTAAGAGATGTGCCATCTCACCTTAACACTACATGTAGCAATTAATCTACTTTGAAAGGAATACAGTATCTAACAGGGAAGCCATTGAGCAAGTGCCCTTTAACTATATAATCAATCACTGATGAAGTCCAATTGCATTTTGCCATTGAAAAATCATGACGATACATGGCCATTTCAAGAAAGAAAAATTACTTCATTATAGTGTTACCTGTGTCAAATGCGCCATTTTTCCAGGACGGTTAAGAGATGTGCCATCTCACCTTAACACTACATGTAGCAATTAATCTACTTCAAAATGAGTACAGTATCTAACAGGGAAGCCATTGAGCAAGTGTCATTTAACTATATAATTAATCACTGGTGAAGTCCAATTGCATTTTGCTGTTGAAAAATCATATCGATACATCGCCATTTCAAAAAAGAAAAATTACTTCATTATAGTGCTACCTGTGTCAAATGTGCCATTTGTCCAGGACGGTTAAGAGATGTGCCATCTCACCTTAACACTACATGTAGCAATTAATCTACTTTGAAAGGTATCCAGTATCTAACAGGAAAGCCATTGAGCAAGTGCCCTTTAACTATACAATTAATCACTGGTGAAGTCCAATTGCATTTTGCCATTGAAAAATCATGTCGATACATCACCATTTCAAAAAAGAAAAATTACTTCATTATAGTGCTACCTGTGTCAAATGTGCCATTTGTCCAGGACGGTTAAGAGATGTGCCATCTCACCTTAACACTACGTGTAGCAATTAATCTACTTCAAAATGAGTACAGTATCTAACAGGGAAGCCATTGAGCAAGTGTCCTTTAACTATATAATTAATAACTGGTGAGGTCCAATTTCATTTTGCTATTGAAAAATCATATTGATACATCGACATTTCAAAAAAGAAAAATTACTTCATTATAGTGCTACCTGTGTCAAATGTGCCATTTGTCCAGGACGGTTAAGAGATGTGCCATCTCACCTTACCACTACATGTAGCAATTAATCTACTTTGAAAGGTATCCAGTATCTAACAGGGAAGCCATTGAGCAAGTGCCCTTTAACTATATAATTAATCACTGGTGAAGTCCAATTGCATTTTGCCATTGAAAAATCATGACGATACATGGCCATTTCAAGAAAGAAAAATTACTTCATTATAGTGTTACCTGTGTCAAATGTGCCATTTGTCCAGGACGGATAAGAGATGTGCCATCTCACCTTAACACTACATGTAGCAATTAATCTACTTTGAAAGGAATACAGTATCTAACAGGGAAGCCATTGAGGAAGTGCCCTTTAACTATATAATTAATCACTGGTGAAGTCCAATTGCATTTTGCCATTGAAAAATCATAACGATACATGGCCATTTCAAGAAAGAAAAATTACTTCATTATAGTGTTACCTGTATAACAAATGAGCCATTTGTCCAGGACGGTTAAGAGATGTGCCATCTCACCTTAACACTACATGTAGCAATTAATCTACTTTGAAAAGTATCCAGTATCTAACAGGGAAGCCATTGAGCAAGTGCCCTTTAACTATATAATTAATCACTGGTGAAGTCCAATTGCATTTTGCCATTGAAAAATCATAACGATACATGGCCATTTCAAGAAAGAAAAATTACTTCATTATAGTGTTACCTGTGTCAAATGCGCCATTTGTCCAGGACGGTTAAGAGATGTGCCATCTCACCTTAACACTACATGTAGCAATTAATCTACTTTGAAAGGAATACAGTATCTAACTGGGAAGCCATTGAGCAAGTGCTCTTTAACTATATAATTAATCACTGGTGAAGTCCAATTGCATTTTGCCATTGAAAAATCATAACGATACATGGCCATTTCAAGAAAGAAAAATTACTTCATTATAGTGTTACCTGTGTCAAATGAGCCATTTGTCCAGGACGGTTAAGAAATGTGCCATCTCACCTTAACACTACATGTAGCAATTAATCTACTTTGAAAGGAATACAGTATCTAACAGGGAAGCCATTGAGCAAGTGCCCTTTAACTATATAATCAATCACTGGTGAAGTCCAATTGCATTTTGCCATTGAAAAATCATGACGATACATGGCCATTTCAAGAAAGAAAAATTACTTCATTATAGTGTTACCTGTGTCAAATGTGCCATTTGTCCAGGACGGTTAAGAGATGTGCCATCTCACCTTAACACTACATGTAGCAATTAATCTACTTTGAAAGGTATCCAGTATCTAACAGGGAAGCCATCGAGCAAGTGCTCTTTAACTATATATAATTAATCACTGGTGAAGTCCAATTGCATTTTGCCATTGAAAAATCATGTCGATATATCACCATTTCAAAAAAGAAAAATTACTTCATTATAGTGCTACCTGTGTCAAATGTGCCATTTGTCCAGGACGGTTAAGAGATGTGCCATCTCACCTTAACACTACATGTAGCAATTAATCTACTTTGAAAAGTATCCAGTATCTAACAGGGAAGCCATTGAGCAAGTGCCCTTTAACTATATAATTAATCACTGGTGAAGTCCAATTGCATTTTGCCATTGAAAAATCATATCGATACATCGCCATTTCAAAAAAGAAAAATTACTTCATTGTAGTGTTACCTGTGTCAAATGCGCCATTTGTTCTGGACGGATAAGAGATGTGCCATCTCACCTTAACACTACATGTAGCAATTAATCTACT